GATCTAAGATTTTAATATTCTTTCTATAAATGGAACTCTGGACTATTTCAAACTCGCCCCCACCCCTGTTTGCAGTGAGTTTTTATCTCTGGCAACAAATTAGAAATTCCTCCAGAATTAAAGAGCATGGAATGGAAATTATTTGGCTTTCCAGCTGAAAAGGTCAACTAGATTCAGAAATGTACTCTGGGCCCGCACCGTCTGCGTGGAAACCTAATTAGAGATCATACTTCATTGGCTAAAAGGGATCAAACTTATCCTGGCTTTCATCTGGATATGTATTTTTTTAAAAAAATTACTCTAAGTTACTAATTCATTTATCTTTCCACTTACAGGAAGTTCCACCCATTGATAAAGCTATGCCCTGACACCCCTGCCTGCATAAAACACCTTCCTCTCCACCACTACCCCCTTTATGATCCCATCCCTTTGTCACACTGGGCTTTGAATGCCCTTCTATGCTAGAAGGCCATAAAAAACCTTAAAACTGTGTTCTCCATTTAGCTGGAGATGGCTCCTGCATGTGGAACCAGAAGCTTGTCTCCTTGGTTGGTAGCAGGCCTGAAAGTAAAGAGGTCAGTCTAGAGCAGTGGTCCCCAACCCTCCTAATGCTGCGACCCTTTAATCAGACCCTCATGGTGTCGTGACCCTGCAACCTGAAAACTACTTTTGTTGCCACTTCATAACTGTAACTTTGCTACTGCTAGGAATCATAATGTGTTTTCCGAGGGTCTTAAGCGATGTCTGTGAAAGGGCTCCAACCCAAAGGTTGAGAACCTCTGGTCTGGAGTGTTTCATGCCCAAAAGACAGCATCCTGTGTTGGTTTGGTTTGGCCTCAGCTTGAATGTCAGGGACAAGTTTTCTTGTGGGTGACAGAGTAGTTGAGGATCAGAAGTGCCCACATTAGGGGTCTGTATGGTGTTCTATTGGGAAGATTCTAGAATACATGGTATGCTTTTAGTGCATGGAGTGGGGTAGGCATAGCACACACACATGTGTGTCCATGCATGTAGAGGCCAGAGGTTGATGTTAGGTGCCTTCCTTTGTGTTCCTCCACCTTATTAGTTATTTAGTTATTCTCATTTATTTTGAGATAGGGTATCTTACTGAACCTACAGTTTGCCAATTCACTTAGGCTGGCTGGCTGGCCTCAGAGAGCAACCTGCCCCCTCCACTCCCCTGCTGGATTATAGATGTGGCCATTGCACCCAGATTCTTATGGGAGTGCTGGGAATCAATAGCCAGGTCCATTTGCTTGTGTAGTGAGTGCTTTATCCAAGGACCTACCCGCCTCCCCAGTCCTTCCCTGCTGCCTTTCCCTCCCTCTCTCCTTCAAGCTATCTTTGCCTCCATTTTCCCCTCACATGCAGGCTATTTGTGAAAGAGAGCTTCGGTTCACGTCAACACTTGCATTTCTCACCTATTTTAGGCCCAGGGTCTCTTACTCCCAAGATCTCCCACTAAGCCATCTGAAAAGAAGTCCAGCGTGTATTCAAAGAGTCTGGCCCTGAAGCCCCAGGGCTGAGCTCAGAATCATGGTCTGTCGCTCCCCAACAGGATCCTACCTCCTTCTACCTGTTCCTAAGCGTTGCCTCTGGGCATGGACAGCCTCTCCTCCTTCTTGTAGACTCTGAATGAAATTAAAGCTAATCCTCTCTGGCTTGGTTAGGTCTTGTGTAAGATTCCCACACCCCACAATCAATGTGCTGTTAGAAGAGATAGCCAAGCTACCACACCTCCAACAACATTAGCAAGAGGAGACTTTTTTTTTTCATTGTATGAGACAGCTTTGAAGTCCTGACTCACAGAAGCCCCCTTCTCAAATCTTGCCTATGCCTTCTCATCGCCAGGACATTGGTATCCACTGTCAAAAGCAAAATGGGGAAGGATAAGCAAGGCCTATGTGAATAAACAGGAGAAACAGGGGAGCTCGGGTTTGCAATTCATGATTTCAACAGACCAGGGTGGCCCTGCTTCATTTGCGGGAAGGTGATGGGGACTGAGACAAGATCTCACTATGTGTAGCTCAGGCTGGCCTGGAACTGAAAGTCCTCTTACCTCATTCTGTGGAATGCTAGAGTGACAGCTGTGTGTCCCTGCATTATTCCCAGCCTCAGTTTTACCTGAACTGTGGTTGCAAACACACACACACACACACACACACACACACACACACGGGCTGGGACAAACTCCCTAGCATTGCGATTTTACTTCTAGTAACTAAGAAGCAGCGAGAGAAGAATCAAAGAGAAAACAGGCCGGAGCTGGGGACCAGTTTTCAGGTCATTCTTTGCTTCCTGAAAGGAGAAATTTGCCTGCAGTGTCTATAATTTAGAAAGCTTTAATGAATGGTTTCTAATTTATTTATTACTCATAGAAAGTTGTAAACACCCCTCCTTAAGCCATTATGAAATAATTTGGGAAGGAGTCAAATGGTTCAAACATCTAGCACATTTAACTGGGCTGTTGTTGGACATAGTTCTGATCTATGAGTCTAATTTATCTCCTTCTTCCGTACATAGGGTTATGTGTGAGCTGTCAGCCCGTGTGTGCATGTGTGAATTCACTTAAGATAGTCAAAAGGCATCTTAGCCTTGTCTTCGTCTCTTTTGCAGACTGCCAGCATGATAGGAGATTCCAAAATTAGTAAAAAAAAAAAAATCAATAAATAAAACGAAAATAAAGCCAATTTAGCAACAAAAAGGGCATCAGCAGAATATACAAGCTGGATAGTCAAACAGAATTGTTTGAAATGCCTCTGCCTGCTTTCAAAGAGCTTCCTACAGTTGAGCCCAAACACCCAGACAGGTAGACTGCTGTGAGATATGTAGGCGATGCCTGCTGCCTGCCCCTTAGATGGTGAGGAGCATTTGAAAGCATCAAAGTTTCCCGTATAGATGAGTGTACATTTATCCCTGTGGCTGTGATCTCTGCACTTGCCTATTATAACTTGCTGTTTAATAGCTTGGCAAACCTTGCCCCTCACAGACTGTAGGCCTTTCCCCCCTCAAGGATCCGCTTCTCTCCCTGGAGAGTCTCACTGGGGCTGAGTTTTGAAAAGTTTTTCTTTCCTGGGCTTGTGCGAAGATATGGGGTCACTCTTTGAATTCGGCACTGTTGGAGACCTCGCTTGTTGGTTGGCTTTTCCTCCCTCCTGGTGCTGGCGTCTGCATGTGGCCAGTTGGTGCCCTCCAACCAGGAGGCTTGTGCCAGGAACCAGCCCAGCTAAGAACCAGGAACAACCACAGCCTTGCCCTGGACAGGCCCATCATTCCATAGAAAATATCAAAAGTCTCTACCTGGCTGCCCATAGGTACTGTGTGGCCCACAGACATGGACTGCCTGAACTCTGCTATGTTCTCAATTTCTGATCACAAATGTTGGGGAGACTTCAGATAGAAATTTATATTTCCAGTTTCTCAGCAATCTGAAATAGGCCGTTACATGGTGCCTCTTGCCCCTAGTGCAAACTGGACTGGGTTCTTCCTTCACATCATGGGGTCCCTTCAACTTGGTTCTCTTAATACCTCTGCGTTATGTCCTGGGCCACTGGGCTTTTGGGTCTGTGACTGATGAGAAGAACATCACACACAAAAGTGAATAATAGCTGGTAAACTTGGGGGACATAGCTGTTGTATCCCATTAACTTTCAGGACAGCACAAGGGTAGGATTACAGCATCCTGTGTGCCTGTGGAGAAATTGAAGTCCTAGGTTTTTAAGTGTCTTGCTCGATTCCTGCTGCTCATGAGTGGGTAAGTCAGGCACTGAAGCCTGAGTTATCTATGCCATCTCCAGTCAGAAACGTGAAAGGGCACCAGGAGTACCCCAGAACACACAGTCCGTTCCCTTGCTCCACTCTCTGTAGTCTGGCCATGCTGCGCCCCAGATATTGAGTCCTTTTTTGTTTGTTTGTTTGCATATTCTGGGCCCCTGTCTATTGTGATTTGTCCCCACCTTCACTCCTATGTCCTAAAGTGCCTCATCTTGAAAGGTCCCATGTATTTGTAAGCATCTGTGTGAGGAGTCCTGCGCCCCCAAATCTGTAATTCTGACTTCGGCACTTCTAGAGCTGTGTCTGTGTCCCATTCGTGGGGAAGCCCCACATACAGCCCTTGGCATGCCACCACCAGTTCCTTAAGGGCAGGCTCTGTCTCAAGTATCCCTCAAACTGACAGGCAGGCAATAATCACTGCAGGGTAGGCTATTCGGTGAGAGCACCTAAACTATGCTCTTGTCAGGGTGTCCTTGGGAAGTGCAGTTGGATTGGAAGAGTGAATCCCACCAGGGTTACCACTGGGTTGCTTGTACCCAGAACCCACCCTCACTTGTCCCACATGCTTCCTGGTTAAGGAGACTTTGTCACTTACACCTCTTTTGTTCCTCAAGGAGTTTCAGATTTGTAACACACCAGTCAGATACAGTGGCACCCACCTATAATTTCAGCACACTGGAGGTAGAGGCAGGGTTATCAGGTGCTGAAGGTCATCCTCAGCTACCTAGTGAGTTCAAGTTCAAGCCCAACTTGGATACATGAGACTCTTTCTCAAACAAATAGCAATAACAGTCAAAACAAAAAAACAAAAAATTAAAACAACACAAGACACTTGCCCGACACAGACCTAGTAAAGAGAAATGACCGTATGCGAATTGCATGATCAGCAAGGGGCTGCGAAATTAATAAGACACGGATAATCACACAATAGCTGGTGAGCCCTGCTGAAAGGATGGGCTTAGGTGTGCAGCTGGGGGTGAGAGGAGCTGGTGACCTGTGAACCACTGGCCAGGCATCAGTTGAACTTTCAGTTTTTATTCTCCACCCCCGCACAATTGTTGAAAGTGTAAAATAATTGCTTCTGCAGCTAGTTACTGAAGGCATCATTAAAAAACAAAAGTACAGAGGCTCGTGAGCATGGACTGAAGCAAACCAGGGGCCGTCTCGATTGAATGCAAAATGATCAAGCTAAGCGAGGTGCTCTGGCAGACAGAAGTGCAGACAACCCCAATAAAATCGATTTTTATTCTTTCTAATGAACCCATCACATACAGAATATGAGAAAGCGCTGCCCGGGTGGGAGGGAGGAGCTGACTTTGGCAATGAATCCACGGCTTCTCTTAAAGTGATTATTCCAAGACACAAGAAGGCGGAGGCTGAGGGACACACATGGAGAGGGCAAGTCAATCAGTCCGGTTTCATTTCTTATTTCTATCACATCTTCACGGAGTGCACACGGCAGGTATGGGGCTTTCTAACATATGAGCAGGGAAGATGGCTTGTGTGAGAAATGTCACTCATCCTAATCAGGCAATGACGCCCTGTTTAAGATGGAAGAATGAGCAAAATCACATTTTTGAATTATTTTTCCCAGTGTGAATGTAGCTGTAGGGAAAAAATAGGCCATCCCCCTTCCCTTAATCTCAAATTCTTAACTGTTAGCCCTGGGAAGTAAAGTACAAAGAGAAATTAACTTCCATGATAAATATTTAAGAAAAACACCCTTTAATTGAGTTAGAGGGAAAGTAAATGTGCCAACTGGTATTTGAGATAACTGTCTTGATAAGTTCTTTGCAGATATAATAGTAGCTGAAAACCTGCCCGCAGTTTTTATTTTGCCGAGGTATTCACCAGGCTTAGGCATTTTTCACAGAGAGCATCAGGACTTAGAAATATCTTGATGAAGTTGCAAAAAAGAAAAGGACCCTCATTTGGCTGGACCTTGTGAGCTGACACAGGCACCTGTAAGCCAGGATAATTACAGATTCTGTGCAAGTTTGGCTAGGGTTTAGGGGATTGTCTTGAACTAATAAACTGTCCTTGAACATCCTAGTCACTAGGTAACTAAACACCGCTCTCATTGCCCTGGATCCTGCTTTCTGGTCTTGCTACAAAACCTTATGCCATGGGCTTACTTCAGATGCTCAGTGTTCACACAGTCATCTTGAAAATTCAATGTGAGGAACAGTGTATACTAAACCCAATCAGACCACCTTCTCTGCTCTACGTGCTTCTCTGATGAGCCTGGGACTTCCTTCTCTAAAGATCTGAAATCCGTTGTCTCCACACTCCCTTCCCACCCCTTGTGGTTTTTCTTGCTTCCCCCCCCCCGTGTGTGCTGACTCTCTCATTCCTCTTCTACTAAATTATGCTCTATTATTTCCAGAGCCTGAAGAACCCACAGCTGAAGCATCATTCCTAACCTTATTTTGTATTCCTAGCATGTGCTAAGACCTGTTTTGAGTTTTATTTGCCGCCAAGTTGCTGACACAGCTCCAATTCTGTTTTCATATTTTGATTGGGTGGGAGTGTTCATTACTGTGGGTACCAGGCGAGGGAAAGAAAGTCATTTCCACAAGGCACAATTTACACCTTCGTTAAAGGGCTTTTTTTTTGTTTCTGAATGCTTTGCCCATTTGAATTCTAAACACTACAAATGTACACACATATCACTTTTTTTGCTCGTAGAAAAAAAGTTTTAATGAAAATTATAGTGTTCCTGTAATTGTCCTCTTAGGCTCTTTACGTTATGCTCATGATGGTTCATCTGCCTTGGTGTCTCCTGATTGACCAGCATGTTGGCAGGTATGGAAAACCTAGAAGCCAGGGGCTTCTAAGAACTGGCGTTTTCAAAGCCCAGTTCAGATCTGCAGTCACCGGCCTTTCTGGGGACACCCACTTCATTTGGGACATGGAATGTGTGGTTCGCAGCAGGCTTCTCTCTTAGAAGCAGAGAACTCATTCATTTCAGGAGCAGGGAACCCCTTACGAGGACACAAGGTTTCCACCGAGCTTTCCCATAAATGCATGGCAGGGAAGAGGGGTCACAGTTCTAATCTCTCTTTGGGGAACAAGTTAGCTTGAGGGACTCCTCGACTACAAACCATCATGTGCTCCAGACTCAGGACTGTCAGATGAAACAGGAGAGACCCCATTGCCTTTGGGTTTCAGAGAAATAAAAATTATTTTGTGCAGATCCCATACAAATTTGAGACATAGTTATTTTTTAAAGACCCATATTTTTATTTCTTCGGAATACAGATCTAACAGCCCATCTCATATTTCTGTTTGGTGATTCTGATGACCTTTTGCACAGTGTGAAGGATACAGGTGGCAATACCAGACACAGGACTGGTGGTTTTTGTAGTCTTTAGGCATTATTTTCTATGTGTCAATGATACCTAACTTGGTGCCCTCACTAAACGTGGTCTGTTCGTCATCTTGCTCATTTCTGCTTCTCTCCCTGGATTACTCAAGGCTTCCTCTTCTGGGAAGCCTTCTGGAATACCCAGCCCTAAGCAATGGCTTGCTCCTATGAAGAGCCCAGGAACTCCTGTGTGAACCATTCATCAGCGCCATTCAAGTTCCTCTTGGCAGCTGCATTAGTCATTCCACCTGCATCCTGCATTCTTCCCAGAAGGACACAAGCTCTTAGATAGCAGCCACCTTGACTCCTTATGTGCTCTGTAGAGTCCAGCACTAGGCCTTTTATATGGTTGGTGATCATGAGGTTTCCGGTGATTTAAAAGCCAACTCATGGGAGGGGGATATGGCTCCCTTGGTGGAATTCTTATATAGCATGCATTACACCCTAAATTAGAATACCAGCACTCAAGAACTAGGCATGGAGTAAGTGTCTGTAATCCCAGAATTAAGGAGGCAGAAGCAAGAAGATCAGAAGTTCAAGGTTACCCTCAGCTAAGTAGCTAGAGGCCAGCCTGAGCTACACGACACCCTGTCTCAAATAAGTAAAGAAATAGTCATACATAAACACAAAAGGTGACTACTGATTGTTACCAAACTGCTTTTTTTCTTCTGCTGTCTAAGCTTTCTCCAGCAAGGAAAGATGATGGGTCAGGGCTTCCTCCATAATTCGAGCACAGGAGAGGCATGTACATATACTGGCTCGGACCTCTGATGACCAGTGTGGGAGCTAGACTCATTTTTTGTGGGTCCCAAATACGGAATGAACATTCTGATGGGGGTGGGGTGCGAGGCACTTGAGAAGAGGACCTGGTGTCTCCTCATTCTTAAGGATCACGAAGATTTACTTTTGTATACATCCACTTACAGAGCATGTAGGCAGGCTGTGGCCAAAGAGCCAGAGAAGCAGGAATACAGAATACATTTCTCTAAAGTGAGTACTATTCCAAACCAGAAGCTGAATTTCCTAATGAGAATTCTGGGGTTGAAGGCAGCATCAGCTCTTACAACCACAGTGAACAAGGTGGGACTTAAAAGTGACAGTTGGAGACAGAGGCAGCTGCTGAACATCTGGCAGAATCCCCCTAGTTACCTGGGGTTCTGTGTCACAGCCACTGGGAATTTCTGTTTGCCAACCATCTTGCATGGTGGTCTGGATCCCAGGAGGGTAGAAAATAAGTTTCTAGAAAGAAAGCTACAGAAAAATGGCACAGGCATTATGTTTCTTTGAAAAGTTTAAATTTGTTGTCTTCTTCATAGATGGATGCCCATACCTTGTGAATCGGGACTTTTAGATCAGGTTGTAGGTGGTTCAGTAGTTAAGAACACTTGACACTCTTAAAAAAATCGGGATTCCATACCCAGCACCTACATGGTGGCTCACAACCACCCATTTCCAAAGGATCCAACTTCCTCTTTTGGCCTCCACAAACCCATATGGTGCACTACCATATATGTGGACAAACCACTCATCCATGTAAACTAAAAAATACACAAGTAAAATCAGAACAGAGTGGGAAAGCCTGCCATTTACACATCACCTTAGGGACTTGGTTTCCCCTTCTGCTCAGTTGCTCTGCCACAAAGATAGTGGGGTGTCCATTGACCTGTGTGCATATCTGGGATCTGTATTAACCTCCCAGCCTTGCCTAGCACTCCTGTCAAAACCTTATCACCGCTGGGTCTGCCTTCCATGTTCGTTCTTCTCCCACACCCACATTCCAGGCTCAATTAGTAGAATCCCAGTTTTATACCCACACTACAGCAGCACATTAAACTGTCCTCGATTAAGCCCTGGATTAGCATGTGCCCAGACTTTATCTTAATTGCCGATTAAGAGTAATCCCTCCAGGGAATTCTCTGGAGCTGCTTTCTTACCAGGAGGGGTGACTCATTACATATTTGGGGTTACCAGGGCCACTTAGCATCTTTTGATGAACATGGAGGGCCCTCAGTTCTCTGGCCTTTGAGGAAGAGACTTTATTGCTCTCTGACAGTCTCCCTAGACAGCTCATTTGCACCTGAAGGTCGGGGTTGAGGGGGATAAAGCTTTGATCCATCTTGACAAGTATGGAATACAGGCCTCAGCAGAAGCTTTGGCTTGCTGTATCTATGGTGAGCTTTGGCTTGGAGAAGGATATTCTCCACACATTCTGTTCATAGTGTTTACTTACAGGGCTCTCTCTCTCTCTCTCTCTCTCTCTCTCTCTCTCTCTCTCTCTCTCTCTCTCTCTCTCTCTCTCTCTGTCTAAATACAATTTGTTGACTGAACCATTTGAGAATTGGGTATACATAGCATGGTTCTTGAGTATAAATACTCCAGCATAAATTTCCAAAAAATAGAAAGCTAATTGTTTTTCTAGTTCTAACTCTGCTGTAGATTGTTTTTTATGATTGGTGATGGATAAATTCATAAAAATATATTCAGTAATGAGAAGTGTAAAATATAATGTGAAGCTCCGCAGCTTCAGAGTGGCTGTTCAACTGTGTAGTAGTTCATTGAGGCCTATAGATTTCAGTCTGCTTTGTGTGTGTGTGTGTGTGTGTGTGTTTTATTTGCAAGGATTTATAATAAAGTTTATAAAAAGCTTTAGAGACAATAGTTTTAAAGAGAAATCTGGGACTAGGGAAATGTCCAGAGATATATAAAGATGACCCCAACTAAGAATCTAAGCAATAGTGGAATGCCTTTCCCCTATAATGAGATTGATGACTATCTTATATGCCATCCTAGAGCCTTCATCCAGTAACTGATGGAAGCAGAAGCAGAGATCCACAGTTACACATTGAGCTGGAATCTAGTTGCAGAGAGGGAGGAGCAAAGGGGTCAATACCAGGCTGGGGAAACCCACAGAAACAGCTGACCTGAACAAGGAGAAGCTCGTGGACCCCAGATTGATAGCCTGGGAAACCAGCATAGGACTGACCCAGACTCCCTGAACTTGGGTATCAGTTAGGAGGCCTGTGCAATCTATGGGGCCTCTGGTAGTGGATCAGTATTTATCCCTAGTATACGAATGGACTTTGGGAGCCCATTCCATATAGAGGGATACTCTTTCAGCCTAGGCACACAAAGAAGGGCCTAGGCTCTGCTCCAAATGATGTGACAGGCTTTGAAGATCCCCCATGGAAGGCCTCACCCTCCCTGGGGAGCAGAAAGGGGATGAAATAGGGGATGGGTGGGGGACAGGGGAGGAAGGGAGGGAGAGGGAACTGCGATTGACATATAAAACAAGATTGTTTCTAATTTAAATAAAAAAGAGAGGAAAATTTAAAGAGTAGTACTGTTGTTTTATATTAAGTTTACATTGGGCAGGACACTGTTTTTATTAATCCACTAAGATGGTTTGGTGGATAAAGGTGCATGTCACCATGCCTGCCAACATGAGTTCATCCCTGAGTCCTACATGGTAGAAGGAGAGAAGTAGCTTGTGGGAACTGTCCTCTGACAGCCACACCTATATTCACACACACACACACACACACACACACACACACACACACACACACACACGTCGCGCGCGCGCGCTTTATAAAAGGGAGATGTGGTTACCACAAGGATGGGATAGTGAAAGAACTCTCTTACAGACATAAGACTGAAGAAAGAGGTACAACTTAGTGAAGGTCACCAGGGACACTAGAGTCCAAACTCAGGATACAGGGCTAACGTAGGCCCACCATGTAGGTAGGCATATAAAACCCCAAGATCGTTGGGAGGACATAGTCAATAGACTTACATTCTTTTGGGGCAGAGAGCTCTGGTGTTTTAGGGGCATGCTTCATATTTCCATGATGGGTTAAAAAGGCCTAATGATATAGTATCAACAGTTCATCGAAACACATATCTTCTGCTAGACCGAAGATCCCAGTTGCTTATGAAGTGCTGTGTGGTCAGCCACCCAGGGAGTGGAAATCAGGGTATAAAATCAGAGCACATACAAATCCCATGGAAATCCTAAGGTGAGATAAGGATGAAAGGCCTGATTCAGAGTAGAAATGGCTAACATTGACAGGTAAAGTTTCTGGAAGGTAGGGGTGTGTGTGTGTGTGTGTGTGTGTGTGTGTGTGTGTGTGTGTGTGTGTACATGTGTGCAAGCACTCTGGTGTACATATGCATATGGAAAGTTGAAATCAATCTGAAGTGTTGTTCCTCAGGTTTTTTTTGTTTGTTTGTTTTTGAGACAGGGTCTCCTCATTGGCCTGGAGTTGACTAATTGGCTAGGCTGTGGAGACAGCAAGCCCCAGGAATCCACCTGCCCTTGTCTCCCCAACACTGGGAGTATAAACATGCACCATCTGCCCGCCTTTCTTAATGTGGGTATCTCCCTAGTCTACTTCTGGAGATTTTGAATAGGACATTTCTCTGCTTCCTATCCCAGATTCACCAGGGTGTATGGGTTAGCTGGGTCTGTGTGGAGTTTATCAGGGTGAAGGCTCTCTTAACTGTCACCATCAAATATGGTGGCCCATTTTGTGCTGTCTCTATCTCAGACTCTATCCTAACTCATTAGCATCCTTCCTGGCCCCTGTGGGACATTTGTTCCTAAGAACTCCTTCTCAGGTGACAGTGAGTATTACTGCTTCTAGTAGAGAGAAATATTGCAAGCTTAAAGGGGGGCTGCTCAGCTACCTCCATGCTCTCCCTCACCGTCTTCTGGGAAGTAGCCAGAGATGCCTCAGTATCTAGGTCACTCAAAGGCCTCACTGTCTTCAGCATTCTTTTCACTAAAGACCTGTGCTGTGCCTCCTTTGTTGCAATGCCTCTGAATGGACAGAAGTCGTTTGCGGGCTCTTTCTAGAACATTCCGATCTGGCCTCTCCTGTGGTGATCTTATTTTCTTCCTAAAGCTGACACAAGAACTGAGGATGAAAGCTTTCTCTTAGTAAAACCCACATGATAACCACCATGTTTCTTAGATTCTATTACAAAACACTACTGGTTTTAAGTGGAAACCTGAAAATTTAGGGTAAATTACAGTATGAATTCATGATCACACAAAGCATTCTGTCAACTTCCTTCGTGATGGATATTTGGAGTCTATTATCTGAAGATGTTTGTCCTGAAGTAAGTTCTCTGTGGGACCAGAGACACGGCATATCCCTGAAGCTTCTCAGCTACGAACCACATGACCACCCAGTATAATTTCCTCTCCTCCTTCTTCGAGCCCTTCTCTGGTGAGTTCTCTCCATTCATAATGGGCTCCCAGGATAGCTGCCTTCAGCCTTAGCATGAACATGAGTATAAATGGATGGGATTTCCACATTATTCTGGTCCAAGCTGCAAATGATGAGCTTCCCCACCGAGCCCCGATGGCGGTATTTCTAGGCTTTAACTGGATGGGGGCTCACTTCGTTAATAGAATTCTCTCTTCAGTTGTTTGACTATGTTAATGTTGCTAGATGGGGTGAGGAGTTAGGACCAATTTTCCTACATGTAAGTCAGTTTCAAAGGTATGTGTGGGTTCTCTTGAGTAGATTTTTTTCCTATAAAGACTTTGAAATTACCATTATCTTTTTCCTCTTTATAAAAGTTAGTATCTTGCTAGGCATGCCACCAGCAGTACTTAGGGTTAGTATTAGTAAACTCTTCTTGGATATTTCTGGTATTGGCTTGAAGACATTTTAAACCCCTTTTTCATTTTGCTCATATTGTTTCCTCAGTGTTCATGACTCATGGTATACAAACACACACAGATACACACACACACACACACACACACACACACACACACACACACAACCACATTCATTTATGCCTACCTTGGACCACATCTGAGCCAACATATTCCCTTGGGGGACACAGTGGTCTCTCGTCCTATTAATGAACAGTATGTTGTTGCTGATTTGTAGAGGGCTTAATTTAATAAACACAGCAAGATGAATATGCTTATGGGACATCAAACCTCTTTAGGTTTCAAATTACTGACTTAGAAGAATTGTCTTGTGAGGCACGAGGTCCTCTCACAGCTGGGCCATTATGGAATATGATGTGGCAAGGGAACAGGAACCTACCTTGGGCTTTGGCTCCTTCTGCCCTCTGATTCCATCTCTCTATCCCTAAGTGCCCAGGAAGCATCAGATGTGCAGACCTCAGCAATGTCTGTGTGGACTAGTTCAGTGTAAACTCTGTGGCTTAGTCTATTCGATGGGAACTCGAAACTTTGTCGAGGGGAAAGTGATTTTGCTGGCTCAGTTAGAACTCAGTTTAGACAGCACTAGACATCACGACAACCGACTAGCTGGAGACGAAGGGGCTCAAGGCCTACCTGCAGGAGTGTCTCCCTGCTTTCCTCTTTCTCCCCAGCTACTCTCATAGAAGTCCTTCAGACCAAAACCTGAGTTCCTGGCCCCACCCCACTCTTGTCATGGACAGAAGAGTGCAGCCAGAGTCAGACTCAGCTGGGAACCAGCCCACATTTCAGGGTGAGTTTACCAGGGCCAGCCTCACGATGTCTCCTTCACTAGTCATGCCCCAGTCCAGACACTTTCCCAGCCTGAATCCATGTCAGACATTACTACTCGATCACAGAATTCTTTCCAATTAATACCAAGCACAGCTCCCAAGTGCTTCACAGAACTTCAAGCAGTCACTACCAATCAAATAGGAGTTTAAAGGTGAGCTAAATTCTATGGACATGCCTGGGTAAACACAGATAGCTGAGGTTTGAACCCCAGCTTCAATCCTTAAAATCACCACAACTTTGGCACAATTTATTGTGTGCCTCAGTTTCACTCCCGGTAAAATGAGGAGAATAATGGTGTCTTTCTCATATGATTGTTGTATGAAATGAGTAAATAGTATAATATGCTAAACACAGTATCCGTTATACATCAAAATGGAGATACAAATGTATGAGTATTGTGGATGCTGTTGAAATCAATGTGTTCAGGAGACACATGTTATAGTATATGGGCCACATCCCTCCATCTTGGTCAATCACATGGTGAGGTAATTTTCTTCAAGGGAGGAAAGGAGTAGAACAGAGCCACTCTTGCAGATGTCAAAGACTGGTGGGGGACGAAGGCCTGGAGGCCAGTGACCTTGGCCACTGTGTGCCGTGTGCTAGGAAGACAGAAAGGAAGGAACATCAAAGACTAGGAAAGCAGGTTGTATGTGAAGGGCATGAACTTTCCGCAAACCAAACAAGAATAGGCACAGCACAACACAGCAAAGCACCCCCCCCCCCAAAAGATAGAATGCAACTGAGCTGAGCCACAGAATGAAGTCTGGGCACCGTCTCTCAGTCAAACCCAGAGCTCTCTCATATGGCTGGTTTCTCTATGGATTTGTTCTGAGATCCCCTGTCTGTGCTTCCTGAGTGGAATTACAGGCAGGCCCTCCATGGCCATCTGACATTTACAAGGTTCTGGGGATCTGAACTCTGGTCCTTAGTCTTGAATGGTAAGCATATAAGTATTCCACCAACCCACCCCCACCCATGACCCCCACATACACAAACACAGGAGTTTTTAGCTGTGCTATCCACTGCCTAGTCGCTGGACCAGTAATACCAGTGAGCAGGAACACCAGTGATTACCAGTTCTGGGTATATGCAGTCCTGCCCAAGCCACCCTGTTACTGGAAGCCTACATCCCTTTGCTACTCCCACACCTCCTGCTGCCTTCCAATCCAGCACACACTTGACTTACTTTTCTGTTACTAAGTTTTCTCAGTGGGAATAGAAATCCTCAAAGACACAGACGCGGGTCCATCTTGCTGAATTAGTCCCCGGGACCTGGATTGGCGCTTAGTTAGCGTCAGGTGCTAATCAAACACTAACCAGAGGCACAAGAGCACAATGTTCGTCCTTGCCCTCTGAAGACTCAGTCCTTTGTGACAGCAGCAAACACAAAGCAACAGTGACATGGAAACAAAAGGGAAACAACGGGGGGGGGGGGGCGGGGGACTGGGGGCGGGGGCCTTAGTCCTCTGCAATAGCCGGAAGTGCTGTAAGTTAAGGGGAAGTCGGGAAGCAAGACCAGAGCCAGAGCCAGGGCATAGAGACGGGAAAGCACTGCGGTAGAAATCAAAGGGAGTGCTTGGTATCGCCCCACATTCACTGGCCTGGTAACCAGGAGACCCTGGTTGAAGTCTCAGCTTTGTTTAAATTGGCTGTGTGACCTTAAGCATGTCACTATGCCTTTCTGTGCCTCAGTCCTCCATCTAAGTTAAGTGATTCAATTCAAATAGCAAATGATTACCCATTTTACCGCTTCAGTTTCAAAAGTGGCCAACATCTGACCTCATTCTGCTTGATATCAAGATGCTAAAATGGACGACTATCAGAGTTTCATCTTTAGTAGGAGAGAAATTAAAATTAAATGTCCTGGGATGGCAAGATGGCTCAGCAGATAAAGAACCCCCCCACACAAACCCCAATAACTGGAGCTGGACTGTGGGACCCACACAAGGGAACAAGAATTGACTCCTGCAAGCTATCATTCTCTTGTCTCCAATTTGTACTTGTAGTGTCTCTGTTGCTCCCTCTCTCTCTCTCTCTCTCTCTCTCTCTCTCTCTCTCTCTCTCTCTCATGTGTGTGTGTGCGTACACACACACACAGACACAGACACAGACACACACTTGTGTCTCCCACTTCTCTAGTCACAGAAGGCTGCATTCCCTGGGTGCAGCCCTCCATTTAAATATCCTTATTCAGCAGATCGGGCATTTAAACCAAGAGGTGGGGTAGTGGGAGCCCCACAAGCGGTAGAGGCCAGGTGCATATCTCTAATAACCACGTAGGAATCAAGCAGCTATCTCCCTAGCTTGGGGAATGAGCAAAATACCAGTAGCTGAGGGCATATTGAACTGCTGAGCCAGGGGTGCGTGGATGCTACTTCAAATGGCTTAGGAAGCATTGCCGTGGCGTAAGTGGGTTACCACAGCCTTACAAAAGCACATCTGGAGGGGCTGTTGGCTTCATGCATCCTTGAATATTGAACCCAGGGAAGGAAATTGACTAGCTGTTTAATCCAATAGTCAATATGTACTCCTGTTTGTATAGACTCCATTGAATTAAAACTCAAGCCTTCACCTCCCGTGAGAATAATCCAACTTAACTGTGTGGGCCTTGTAGATGCGCATCACAGCTAGCGGTTTCTTCGTTCGGAGGGGCTGGTCAGTGCTCCCAGATCAAAGTGGCTAATAAATTTTTGATCTGGTTTATTGAAGAGCTGAATCAGGTTTGTTATCTTTTTGAGTTACAATGGTTCTCTAATGAAATTTGATTATTTTGAACACCCACCTCCCATGCTGAAGATCCTATGCCTCAGTTTCCTCGTCCAAACGGAAAGGCTAAACACCCCTCGCTCTAAAGAGTCAGTTTCCCCACAGGGGCTGTCAGTCATGACCTAATCCAGACCACAACCTGATGACCCGACTATAGACAACTGTCTATTCTTGGCTACCTTACTACTGAGGGAAAATGGGCTAAATTAGCAGAGTTTCCAATAAAATTATATTGACGATTTCTTTTAAAGTATGTACGTGTGTGTGTGTGCGCGCGCGCGCACGGGAGCGCGCGCCAGTGCTTGTGTACATGTGTGTTTGTGGTGTGGAAGACAGGACAACCCCATGTGTCTTCCTCAGGTACTGTCTGATTTTTGAGACATGGTCTCTCAGCAGTCTGAAGCTTGTGCATTTCTCTAGACTGGCTAGGCCCAAGCATCTGCCTACCTGTGACTCTGCAGAACTGGAATTACTGGTGTGCACCACAAAGCCAGGCTGTTTTACACACGTTCTGGGGAGCAAAGTCATGTCCTCACTCTTGCACATCAAATACTATACCAGCTGAGCCATCTCCCCAGTCTCTAATGCTTTACTCCCAAACCCTTCAACCTTGTAGTTGACTTTCCTGGTGACTTAATAAAGGCCAAGGAATCAAGAGCTGAATTTTCTGAGAACTGATACACCTTTTAAAGCCAAGAACAGAGTACCCCACCCTGGCCCTTCTCCCTTTGGAGGATAACTCCTCCGAGGTAAGGGACTCCTGTAGTTGCTGCAAGCCTGCATGGACCGTAACCTACTCCCTCATTCTTCTTGCTTCCTGGTCTTTCGTCTAGGGCCTTATAAAGAACATTCTGGCTACTGGTGGGAGGGTGGTCATGTTTGGGGCACTGGCATCAGACTTACTACATTCTCCCTTTCCATAGGAGGAGGACAATATGGAAGGTTCTCTTTGAGTTTCAGGTTCAGACATTGCCCAAAGCTCAAAGCAAAAACGATATAGACTTAATAACAACTTCCAAGGACTCTTTCTCAAGTTCAAAGTGGACTGTAAACATTAATTAATCAATTCCTCCTCTCAACATTGTGTGAGGTATGAATTAGTTCCATTTTATAGATGGGAATGGCTAGGTAAGGGACTCCTGTAGCTTACTGCAAGCCCACATGGACTGTAACCTAGAAAGACAGGAGTAAGTTGGATTTCTGTGCTTCCCTTGTACACAAAAACTAATGAAAGCCCCATCACCATTATAGAAACAGGAATTGAGTGTCCTTGTTTCCCTGCAGTGGTCAGTATGCCCTGTTCTTGACTCCATTTCCATCCTTTGGCCTCAGTTTTCTGCTCTCAAGGGATTGCCTTCTCTCAAGGTAACCAAGTGGAGTGACTTTGAATAGGCCATCTGAACGTCCAGACCTTCCCGTTAATTGACATGAGTTTTACCTGGATTTTTACCAGCCTAACAGGGATGACATCTGCAAACACAGTCACTCACTGCATATGCAGCTGGATGGGTGGTCAGGAATGCATAAGCATGAATGCTATTTGGTTCAAGTACCAAATGATTACACACACACACACACACACACACACACACACACACACACACGAAGAATGGGGGAGGTTAACATAACCCTTCGTACAGATTTTCACTATGTACATTAGTTTTGTAGTGTTGGGGAGATGACTTCATCAGTAGAGTCACCATCTAATGATGAGGACCTGAGTTTGGATTCAGTAAAAAGCTGAATGTGGTGGGTGACATGCGCCTATAACTCCAGTGCTGAAGAAGAGAGGCAGATGGATCTCTACAGACAACCGTCCCAGATGAGCAATCAGTGAACCTCAGATTCAGTGAGAGAGTCTGTCTCAAAAATTAAGGTCAAGAATCCTAGTAAGGACACTTGATTTTGACCTCTGATTTCCATGTATGTGTACACATGTGTGTGCATATACATGTACAAAACTGCCAGACATATACATAAACCACACATACACATCTCCAGAGGACTAAAATTAAAAAAAAAGAAATTGGTTTACTAATATTAGCAACTATATCTCTTTTATAAAAGCAAGCTGCTGATCATGTTATAGCCAACTGTACAAAGTTTTTGTTTTGTTTTAGATAATTCTGCCCTTGCAGCCTCCCACGATCTGGAAATGGTTCCACCTTTTTTCGAGGAATTGCCTTAACCTGATAAGCCTGGATATCCTATCCATGGGTTGAAACGTCATGGTATGGTCAGTTGAGACCTGGGTGGATTTATCTTTGTGGCTCACTTGTACAGGAAGGGTGGCCTCAGCTAAAGTGCTGTGACACTGGAATTTCAGACTTGCTCATCTGCAACATCTGGAAATGTGTTCTCCCAAATGCATCGGGGTTGCAAGCAAGTCTTTATATATCCCAGGAGCAGCAATCACACTTTGCAGAACACACCTGAAATGGTGTTAGGTGTGAAGACAGAGAGGAGAAGTTTTAGCTGAGAACATAAGGGATATAGAAGAACTTGTAGATAAACATAGGGAAGAAGTTTGCCTTTCTGTTTTTATTGAATGCAGGGAGTGGAAAGGTTTAGCCTGGCAGTTCTCAACCCTAGCTGCTTATCAGGGTCACTTTGGAGAATTGGGAATCAAACAGCAGTCTCAGAGAATGTGAAATGGTAACACTTGTGCTCACTGAATTTGCCTTCTCCAGAATCAGAGGGTGGCCAACTGTGATACCCAGACAGGCCAGAGAGACTGGGACTGGTCTAGGGAGCATAGCACGGAGTGTAAACACATAGTATGTGATCTATACTGTGGGTCAGAGCATGTGCAAGAGACAGTCCCTTAGGAAGGAGTCAGGTTTGTTTTTCCTGGAGAAGTTGCTTGTAGTAAGCATAGCTGTTCATTTAGGGATTTGACTTTATTTGTAGCTTTCATGTGAGAAACTATTTTAAAACAGGGTGTCTTCATTATCATTTTTATTGACATTGACTCAAAATAATTTGCTTGATAGATGAGCCAAAATGAGATAGATTTACAGTCCTCAAAATAACTGAAAATGAAAAAAAAATATCGAAATACAACAAAACAAAAACTATGCTGCTTTGCGGGCTGTCTACATCCAGGAACCATACATAGTCCATTCAATTAAGTGATGTTGCTGAGGGAACTGCCAGCGATCAATGATGTAGTCATGTCCATGAAGGGAAATGCCATCTGGCCTAGGTTTAAAAGGCTTAAGTGACAAGAAAGAAACAAAAACAAGACCAGAGATTTTTGATTTGCATCTTACACAGGTCATGCCATGCTGTTTAGGCTTTCCATTTTACAACTTACTGTACCTTCTCCAAAGTTTTATTAGATGAGTTCCCTCATCATGACCATTTCACAGATGAAGAGTCTGAGTCCGAGAAGGCTTAACTCACTTCTCAAAAGTTATAAAACTGGGGGCTTGGGGAGATAGCTCAGTGGGTGAAGTGTTTACTACATAATCAAGAGGACCAAAAGAGTTTGGATCTCCAGCACCCAAATCAAAGCTGGGCAGGAGCGGTGGGCCATCTATCAACCCAGGGCTGGGGAAGTCTCCCTACTTCCCAAAACACTTAGAGCTAGACCAGCTTAATCTAGGTTCAGTGAGAGACCTGCTTTAGTAAATAATAATGAGTGTGATTGAGGAAGATGCCTGATGATATCA